CTAGGTTTGCTACTACCTGATATGTTATGTGCCAGTATGATATGATGTTATATGCTAGTAGCAGTAGGGAGATAGTCCCCAGGATTTCCGGTCGATAGGGCCGAAAGGGGTAGTCGTACCCAGACATGTTAGACAGATTATGGTTATGTGATATATGTTATGTAGTAGTAGTAGAGGGGTGAAATAGCCCCCGGTATCCGGTCGAAAGGACCGAAGGGGAGGCCAGCACCCAGATATGCTCGGTGGTATCCGGTCGAAAGGACCGAAGGGGAGGCCAGCACCCAGATATGCTCGGCAGTATCCGGTCGAAAGGACCGAAGGGGAGGCCAGCACCCAGATATGCTGGGCAGTATCCGGTCGAACGGACCGAAGGGGTAGGTCGGGCACCCAGATATGCCTGGCAGTATCTGTATGTATGTGATTGTATGGTATGTAGTAAGATGGGGGAACTCACTAAGCTTTGTGCTTACAGTTTACAGTTTTGTTTTCAGGTACCTCTTCATCGAAGGGGAAGGAGCTGGCACGGTAGCGGCACATCATACACACACATTGTTTTCCGCATCATGAGTTATTCTGGGATTTTTTACTCTGACATTATGGTTGTTTTTGTATGTTGGATTTCAGACACGGAATATGTTTATGAAATGATATGATCAGGCGATGTTTATTCACTAATGTTTTTCCAAAGCGTTGATTTAAAAATGAAATTTTTGGCCTGTATTTTTGGGGTGTTACACAAAACATACAAATAAAACCTGCAAAAATTGACAAAACCTAATTCATTTTGCACAAATTGATACGAAGGGGGAAAAGGGGTATTTTTTTTCTTTTCGAAATTACAGACAAATTAAGAATGAAACTAGAGTAGAAATTCCAGGAATTGTTCTAGAAATTTAAACGTATCCCAACATGTTTCATCCATGAAAAGGTTATGATAATAACCTAATTGATTCAATACGTCTACTCATTCACAAAACAAGAACAAAATTGCGTGTATTTATGGTGGAACAAACAACAGAAAAAGATGAAGGGTTACATATATGATAGAGGTGTGGATAAGAAACAATGTTCGATTAGTGGAAACAGCGGTTCACAGGTTATGCAGATGGAGATTGCGGCAATGGTGTGATGGTATTTTCTCTCTCATTAGCTCCGTCGATGGTGGTTCGCTCAAGAGGGTGAACGACATGTGGCCAGAGTTTCATGATGGTGCTTCACAGTCGGAAAGGGTTGGGGTCTTAATGATCCAGATTTCTGGTGAGGTTCCAGGTTCCATTCTTCAACTGATTTGCAGAGACGACTCTCTCCCTTTTTCTCCAAATCGGTGGTGTGTAGGTGTCGCACCAGAGATGGAGAAGAAGAAGCTGAGAGTTTCGGTACCTCAAAGCTTGTGGGGATGAAGGGTGGTGGTTTAGGTTCTTGAATGAAAAAAAGATGAAGAGGGAAAAAGATGTTTTACAGGGGACACGAAGAAGAAGATGGGTAGGTAATGTGAGGTTGGGCCCAACTAGTTATTGAATTTTTTAAATATAATTGATAATAATAAAAATCTAAAAATATATAAAAAATAAATAGAAAAGGGCAAAACAGACATTTTATGTCAGGTAAATGATTTTAGGGACGAAACGTGCAACTTTTAATAATAGGAGGGACGGTCCGAGTTAATTTTTGAAAATAGGGACTAAACGTGCTTTTTGACACATACACGAGGGACGAATCGTGTAATTTACTCAAAAAATAACTAAAAATATGTGAATTTATCATTTTTAAACTCTACCCATATTTATAGTCCTTTTTTTGCATATAACGTAAAATGTGCACCATATGCACATAAATAGAAAAACGTTTGTTTTGAATTAATTTTTTCAAAAAATCACATTCTCTAGTAGTGTCCTAACTTATTAAGATGTTTTTCATCTAAACATTAATGTGCATATATATGTAGATGTGCATATATATATATATATATATATATATATATATATATATATATATATAT